GTGGCAGCACAACGACGGCTGACGAAGACCGACGCAACGACGATGAAGATACCAGTCAGCAACGGAGTCGTTACACGTTCTGAACGGAGGAGGCAGACAGCGCGATGCTATTACAGCACGTCAGAAAAGGACCCACGAGAACGACACCACCAGTGGGAGCTTAAAGTCGGAAATTGGAACATATCCTCACTCAGAGGAAAAGAGCAGGAGCTACTTGACGAGGTCGCAAAGTGACAACTCTACACAGTTGGACTATCGTCCACGAAGCGTTAAAATTATAAACCGCTGAGCCGAATAACTATTCTATTCAAGTGTCAACATCACGATGAGCGCTAATGTCGGTGTTGATGTTCTGGTACAACTCAACCTGGCTGCTAGAATCATTGAATGCAAGCCTGTCATCGGAAGAGTACCCATCCTCTGACTGAAGCTACAGCACGATAAAGCGCTGACTTTGTTACAGGGCTATGCTCCCAATCTAGGACGAGGGGAATATGAGTCCTTCCTTGAGTAAGTGGATAGTGCTCTGTACAAAGTGTTGAATACGGAGTATCTCATTCCAATCCATGGTTTCTATTCGGTGACTGGAAAGAACTGTCCTGGCGACCTCAAAAAATACCACGAAGTAGTTGCGCTTTTGTGCCATGAACGGACTATCAGCATACTTGGTACAGGGGAGCTTCTGCACAAAAAATGATCATCCATTTCACAATCGTATCCTCTGACCTACGACGCTCTGTAATGTTCGCGTTAAGAGAGGCACAGCGCTGTCAACCGATCACCACCTTGTTGTTACCATGCTATACAGTGAGAGATGAAGTACCATGCGAAGATCTGGCCGTAGAAGCTACCTGGCAATTAAATAAAAAATGGTGTCTTCTGGGGAAACTTGGTAGCAACATCACACAAAGGCCTGAATAGATCCCGGTGATGACCACTGATGTGGAACCCCGGTGACAGCTCTTTAAGAGCGGCATACTCGAGGTTGTCGCCGAATGATGTTGTTTCAGACAGGGTTGTCTGCCGCCTGAAGGTCAGAAAAGATCTTCAGGGTGGACATGAGAGGTACAACAGGCAGTTGAAGAGTAGAAAGCACCATTCAAGAAATGGCTTGGAAACAAAGAACCTTCTACTCGCGTGCGACATGTCGAGGCACGCAAGGCGGAAACGAAAGCAGTGGCG